AGCAGGGACTGAGACGGTGGCGCAACATTAGCAGGGACTGAGACGATGGCGCAACATTTGCAGGGACTGAGACGGTGGCGCAACATTAGCAGGGACTGAGACGATGGCGCAACATCAGTGCACGTCGCGACCTCAGAGCATCGCGATCAGCATGCGTGAGGACGGAGGCGGTTAAGCAGCGCCTTCTGCACAGTGTCGTGCAACTTCACAAGGCTTTATCTCCGGAGCTCCATACTTTGTCGCTCGCGTGAACTGTGCAATCATTTAGCTGGAACTTGATGAATGTGCGTGTACGTGCGTGCATGCGTGTGTGCGTGCGTGCGTGCGTGCGCGCGTGCATGCATGTGTCTTTGATGCATTCCCGTGTCTTTGTTTCTACAAGAGCCCGCTTTGTCTCATGTTTCACCCTTACCCTTGCTGACTCGACACTTAGAATATCCATTTTGTGTGAGAGTGTTGTAAATGCCGATGCATGCATGCATACATGCATACAAGCTCAGGCGCACGGGCACCGACTTCCGACGCGGCTCTTCTGCGCACATGGCGTGGAAGTGGGCGGCCAACCTCCTAGCGTTGCCCCCAGCACGACGCGAGGCCGACAAACCCTGAACAAACTCCCGGCTGCGAGCAAACACCGCCCGCCCGAAAACTCTCGCCTTCGCCGGGCCAGAGGACGTTAGCGCAATGAAGCACAAGCGCGCAGAACAAATACTGGCCCGGCGGCGACAAAGCGCGCCGCCGCCTGACTCGGCCGCCGGCAGGCCGCGCGTCGCCAACCCGCCGCCGGGGCCTCTTCGGGCCTCTTCGGCCGACGTCGAGGACAGCCCGCCGCCAATTAGATTTGCTGCCGGGATGACTGGTGGACCGCCCTCACTCTCCCACGACTCCGCGCGCCGCCCTGGCGCCAGCACTGCGCAAAACCGCCGGCAAGAATCGATCGGCGCCACCGTGTTGTTTGAGCCGGGCGGGCACGTCCGTGTCGCCTGTCAGCGTTTTTACGCTTCGCGCACGCAAACATCGGTTATGTCGAGTGAAATCGGCCTATCGGCTCCAATATCAAGGCTTCACTCGATATCTTCCCACGTATTTGACAACGGGACGTGATTGTCCCCATTTGCCGTGCCACAAGAACAGCGTCCAAATAGCATGTGTGGAAGTGAGTGCGTGAGTGCGCGTGTGCGTGCGCGCATGCGTGCGTGAGTGCGTACGTGCGTGCGTGCGCGTGTGCGTGCGTGCGGGTGTGTATGCATGCATGCAGTCTGGCATCGAGTAAGGCTGAAGAAATGGGAGGCGGAATGCACGTCCGAGGTCAGTATAATTGACATGAGGGTCTCGTGCTTAACGGGCCCGGGTGGAAGTATTACCAATACTCAACCATCACGAGGGTCAACACAAACCGCGCGCATCGCCCCTCCGGCGGCCAATAGTGCAGGGTGACAGGAGCACGGCCTGTGACACGCACCTCCTGAGAGGCCCGGCGGACACCGAGGAGACGGCCCTGATCATGCAGCGGACCGCTCAGCGTACTTACACCCTCAAGTAGCGAGCCCCAGCGAATGGAGGACACGCTGAGCAGCGTCGGCGTTGCATATACGCAGCGAGGTGAAGCCTTGATATAATGCGCTGTGTTTCAATCAGCAACCATACGGTTGTAACTGCTGTAAGCCTCGGAGCCATCGATGAAACGGTTTCCGGTCACGCTGGCCTTCCGCATGCAGCAATCCGTCGTTTCGAACCACGTTCGAAACGCAAAAACATTTTGTAATTGACGTGCAAATTCGTTGAATGCGGCTATCCATAAGCGGCCGAATGATTCTGCGCAGCGCACAAAGTCAATCCGCTGCAGCAACGTCTCGCATTACATGACGGGCAGCATGAGCCTGGGCGAGTTTGGGACCGGACGCCACTCTTTCAGTCGCCGTCCCAGCCGACCGCTGTCAGCCGGATGGGGGGGGGGGGGGGGCATCGGGGACGGGTGGAGTGTCTGGCCCCGATTATGAGGTCGCTGACCAGTGTCCAGACGTCCGTCTGTGCCTGCCGCCGGCACGGTGCCGTGCACTGGGAATGGGCGGGCCGTTGCGCCAGCCCGTGGGGCGGGCTCCGACACGGACCATAGACGGACACCGGACCGCGAAGACGCCGCCCCCAAAACCCCTCCCTCACGTGCTCTGGCGCAGCCAGTCGCGTCGAAGTGCGGTCACAGACCGAGGGCACCGGCGTGTGGAAAGCACAGGCACCCAGCAGCGCTCTACTGCTCCGAATTCGGGTCCGGGTCCGGGTCCGAGTCCAGGTCCGAGTCCTGGTCCGAGTCCGGGTCCAAGTCCTGGTGCTGGTCTTGGTCTGGGTCCGGGTCTGGGTCCGGGTCCCATGACCATGGCCGGTTTTCGTCCTCCGTGCAGCCGCGAGGACACCCAACAGCCCAGCCTGTCGGGTGGGCCGCGTCCCTCTTCCGACCGGGGTGGTCGACTCCGCGTCTCGGCTCGGAGAGCCGCACCGCTGACTCTGGCAGCGCGGACAGGCGCGCAGCGCTCAGCGCCACCGGCTCAGCGACCGCTAGCAACACAAGCGGCACGAGCGGGCCGGGCGCCCTCGCCCAATTCAAGCGCGGGACACGGACATCCGCCGATGATGCGATCGGCCGGTGCCCCGGATCGGACCTGCATCGCGAGGGGAGATCCCAGGCGCAGTGGGATCGGATCGCAGATCAGACCCACCGCGCCTCCAGCCCGCACGCTGAGCTGACCCACCCTCGGGGGGGGGGGGGGGAACAGGTGCCGGTGGCGGTGTAGAGTCTGTGTTATGTGGTGAGTCTCACATCCAAGTCACTTAGCTGGCAACACCGAGCTGCATCACCGAAATGCTCTCCTCGACCCGCCCCTGTACAATCCCAATTACGAACCAGCTTCCTGATGCCGCGTTACTGCTGGGGGGCGGGTCGCCGACTCGCCCCATCCCCTCCTCGCCCCCTCCGGCGCGGCGGCGCAGTGCCAGTTGAGTCAATCAGATGTAATTCAATCACCGTCCCGTCGTCGGATATAGTTGGTCCGGCGAGCGCAGCACAAAAACACAGCCTGCTGGCGGCGGCCGCTCTGCGTCAGCCCTCAGGCTCCATTCTGAGCTCCTGCCCTGAGACCCTAAGGATGGCTTTGATTGACATAATTTCGGACAGCCATCAAAGTAAGCATTGCTAGGCAGCGAGTGCGTAGTTATAAACTCACGAAGGTTGCTTAGTGCGCAGCAGGGTCTGTCGGAACGCAGCGGTCTTATCGTTCTGTGTGATAGGACTTCCCTTCATGACCTCCAGAGAAAGGCGGTGCTCAGCATTTATGTTTATTTGATATAGCTCCATGCTTATTTTATTTAACTAACAGCATGGTTTGTTCCCCGAATGTCGTTCAGACTACAGTACTTACTAATCGTATTCCATCACATGGTCACGGACCCTGTCATCCAGCGGGTCCAGACATGTGAAGAAAAAGGACCCCACCGGAGAAACTCTGCTCGCGCTTTGGGGGCCCTGCAGGTTAATCCTGGGCATTCCAAAGTGAATTGAGGGTGAGATGAGCGTAACACAAACGATACCACTGATCGCAAATGTATAAATGTAATGTATATTTACCTAACCCGTCTTTGCATTTCTATTTGCAGTCGAGCTTAACACGCATAACCATTTTGTTCACATGTCTGCGTTCAGAAACGATGCCACTAATTGGCTGCGAGGTGTGAGGGGCATGGGGCGAGGCTAAAAAGCTGAGTGGGAGTGGTGAGAACTTGGCCGAGGGCGGGGCACTTCCTTCTTAATCAACCCCTCAAAAATGAGCCCTGAATAAAATAACAATAATATAGAAATATCGAAATATACAGGGAAATAGAATAGTGAACAAAGAATGAAAAGAAGGCCTGAATAATGCAAGCAAATAACTACTAAACCAATGTCACACATTGTTAACCACGGCGACGGTTCCCGTGCCGCATTGAAGAATAACTCTCAGTACATGACGCCTATGCAAGGAGTCTCACGGCGCCTCTCAAAAGGATACGGCCAATAGGGATAAGCATGCATCACGCAAGGAGAAAGATACAAACAATCCGAGTGACGAGTGCGTCACAAAATCGACGTTAGCAAGAACGCTTACTTGTAATTATGCGTGTGCCTTGCCTTTGGGCTGCTGACTGATGGCATGCATATTCATTCGTTTTTCTATTAAAACTGCTTTAAAAATATGCCCAACATGAGATAAGTCAGGCTCACGCCGCTGCGCATCACACCGTGTTCTGCAGCGGCTTTTGCAGTAGCGGAGTTGTCGCAGGCTCGAGATCAACTAAGGATCAAGCCGTGTGGCGGTACTCCACCATGAGCGTAACCGAGAGCGTCCGATCTTTGCCATGACCGCGAGTCCAGCGCGGAGGCCTTCACGGCTGAGATCACCTTTACCTAGTTCGACTACCGCCTGTTGGATTGTACCCATACCCACCCGCAACCCATTCTTAGTCAGTTGTACCCACCCGTGATTCGTCTAATTGCATCATTCCCAGTACCTTTGTTTCAATGTTAGTTTCTAGTATGGAAAAGATGCGAGGAAGTTCGCACCCAAAATTTCGGTGAGATGCTTGCTTCTGTTGTTTTTTGCCAAGGTTGTTCATTTTCCGCAATCTGGTTTACTGGTGTGTCATGGCTGCCATGAATTTTCTGTCACTGGTGCACTTCTCATACAACAAAAAACATGTTTTTCATGATTATGTGTTTGGTAGCACACGCTGGTTTTTGGATGGCTTGAAAGTTTGATGTAAAAACGCATGACTTTGACTGTGCAAATTTTTGACCAGCAAAAGCCTGCAAGTCTTGCCCATAACCCATCCAAAAGCCCGCAGGTTCCTGCTGGCCAGATATTGGTGGATTGACGGGTTAAAAACTTGCGTCATTAGAGCCGATGTGTTCACCTTATCTGCTGAGTCCTCCGGTCCAGCGACAGCTGGCCTGGCGCGGCCGGCACACTCACCCTTGCACTCGCCGGTTGACTTGTCGATGATGGCCTTGGTGGAGTTGACCTGGCCGAGGCCGAGGCACATGGTGCGCAGGTCCTCGTCGGTGGTGTCCGGGCTCAGACCGCGGATGTACAGGTTGGTCTTGCTCAGCTCGGCGTCCTTGAACGAGCCGTGCGAGCTGCTGCCGTGGGAGCCGCCCGGAGAGTGGGCCGGCATATAGCCGTTGGTGCTCTGTGGACAGGGAGCGGGCGCGGTCACCACCGGGCACGGTCGGGCGGGCGGGGTCGTCACAGGGCGCAGCTCAGACGTCACAGGGCACAGCTCGGCAGATGGGGTCGTCACAGGGCGCAGCTCAGACGTCTCAGAGCACAGCTTGGCAGAACGGGTCGTCACAGGGCGCAGCTCAGACGTCTCAGAGCACAGCTCGGCAGATGGGGTCGTCACAGGGCACAGCTCAGACGTCTCAGAGCACAGCTCGGCAGATGGGGTCGTCACAGGGCACAGCTCGGCAGACGGAGCCATTATAGAAGGGGGTCACCACATGGTATGGCTGAGCCGTGTGCGTCCGTGTCATTGGGGCTTTACGACGCACTCAGCTGCTGAGGCTATATGGCGTCGCTTGCCTCCCACCCTGGCAAAAAGGGTGGGCCCCGCGGGGAATCGAACCCCGTACCTCTGGTTTCCCAGACGCGCACAGACCCGCCAGATAGGACAGCCGGGTAGATACGGTCACCACAGGGGAAGGCCCAGTCGACAGACCCGCCAGATAGGACAGCCGGGTAAATAGGGTCACCACAGGTCACAGGGGAACGTCGAGTCGACAGACCCGTCAGATAGGATAGCCGGGTAAAAAGGTCACCACAGGAGAAGGCTGAGTCGACAGACGCGTCAGATAGGACAGCCAGGCAAATAGGGTCACCACAGGGGAAGGCTGAGTAAATCATAGAGCAGGGTCATCACAGGGTCTAGCTGAGCCAACAGACCCGTCAGATAGAACAGCCGGGTAGATAGGGTCGCCACAGGGGAAGGCTGAGTCGACAGACCCGTCAGATGGGATAGCCGGGTAAAAAGGTCACTACAGGGGAAGGCTGAGTCGACAGACCCGTCAGATGGGACAGCCGGGTAAATAGGGTCACCACAGGGGAAGGCTGAGTCGTCAGACCCGTCAGATGGGACAGCCGGGTAAATAGGGTCACCACAGGGGAAGGCTGAGTCGTCAGACCCGTCAGATGGGACAGCCGGGTAAATAGGGTCACCACAGGGGAAGGCTGAGTCGTCAGACCCGTCAGATGGGACAGCCGGGTAAATAGAGTCACCACAGGGGAAGGCTGAGTCGTCAGACCCGTCAGATGGGACAGCCGGGTAAATAGGGTCACCACAGGGGAAGGCTGAGTCGTCAGACCCGTCAGATGGGACAGCCGGGTAAATAGGGTCACCACAGGGGAAGGCTGAGTCGTCAGACCCGTCAGATGGGACAGCCGGGTAAATAGGGTAACCACAGGGGAAGGCTGAGTCGTCAGACCCGTCAGATGGGACAGCCGGGTAAATAGGGTCACCACGGGGGGAGGCCGAATAAACCAGACCGTCAAATAGAGCAGTCGGGTAAACAGGGTCGTCAAAAAGAACAGCCGGGCCACTTGGTCACAGTCCTGAGAAGGGGGAGGGATGGGGTTCTTCACAGGACTCGCTGACGACCGGCTGAACACAAACCGGAGTGCGACAGCGTCACCATGCAGCACGGAGGAAAAAAGAGATGCCACGCAAAGCAGGGCTCGACATGATTACCACACAGAGCGCACGGCGACCGGGCAATCACACAGAATGTAACGGCAGTGTCACAGCGTAGAACAAGGCGCGGCATGTCACATGATCGGACGACACAAACGCGCTGGAATAATCGGAATGGGTTATGGTAAAAGCTCTATTTAAGCCCTAAATGCGGAACCCACGGATGTTTATCATTCATGCTGCAAAATGGTGGAATTATGCTGATATATTTATCAGGTAAGGCTATCCATTTGATGCATGCAAAAGATCAGTTTCGTTGGCCCTTGATTTCATTTTTCCATTTGGCATGGAGTGGAAGTTCGCACTGTCATCACCTCCTTCCGGGGCGCTGCGGAGGTGAGGCGGCGCGCCTCGCTCGCTGGAGCGGGCTGGCGCGTGACCCGAACGGTCTGGTGAGAAGCCACGACGCGAGGCCCTCTGCCGACGCCGCAGTGACGCAACCTCCGCCACGCAAAGTCAGGACCTTACCCTCCGGAGCATAAACAGTCGAATTTCTCTGTTTGACGGAGAGTGCCGTGCCGGCGGCCGGGCGCGGCTCGCGTGGCGGCCCGGTGCCGAGACCCCCGGGGGAATCGGTCCGGACCTGCCGTGCGACACCCCCTGGGGCTTCGGCCGCACGTGCTCACCACACCTCACCGCCGCTAGCGGTGGCTGGTACGGCTGTCGGCTCTACACGCACGGTGTGCCTGAACTCTAGTCCCGCTGCAGTTATGCAAGCGGAGGACGTGTGCGGCGCAGGTCGGCAGTGCACCTATTTTGAGCACATCCCGCGTTTTACAAAATCGCTTGTCGCTCTTAATGCCGTAACGAGAGGCGGAAAAATACATGAAGACGTTGAATGCTATGTCAGTTTACATTGCAAGGTCGCTGCCTCGTCTCCATTGCGGAGTTATTCCAAGAAGCGTTGCGCTCTACCAGCAGCCAACATGCGGCAATGGATGCGGATCTACCAGCAGACAATGGATGCGGCAAACGCAGAGACAGCACGACTATTTCTATACGGGTGTGCTGGCGACCTCCGAAGACAGTCCGCCGACACAACTCCGTGGCTGCCGACGGTGATGACCAGCAGCCGACGACGGGCCTGATCACTAACTCTGGCGCTGTCTGACGTTGACCACCGCACCGGAGCCGGCTCACGGAGCGCCGCGTGTACAGGCGCCGTGGGCACCGCGCCACGCGCTGGCGCTGAATGAATGGCCTTATTGCTGGCGCGAGTCCAGCCGTCACGTCGCCTCCCGTCGCACGTGATCACGTGATCAACAGGAGGACCCGTGCCTGGGTGGCAGCGGGGCAGAGGCCGTGGTTGTCAGGCCTCGCGCCACTACGAGGGTCGAAGTTACAAGAGCCCTGACTGATAAGGCGTGGACCCGATCAAGGATGCAGCATTCTGTACTTGTGCCTTGTGCAGCAGCGGTGCGTCCGGTTGGAATGGGAGACTGCCGAGTCTGAGACTGGGGAGCCGAAGTTCTCGGATCGCGCTGTTCGTTCAGCAATGCTCGCCATGTCTGCACACAGGTTCCAAAAATACGTGCATAAAGCAATGTGCCGAGCTGGAACCAACCAAAGCTTAGTGCATCACACCAGCATATATACATATATATATATATATATATATATATATATATATATATATATATACGCTGTGCACACCGTTGTACGCTTCCCTTTCACTAAAATCCCCATGCCTACACAAAGGTCCACAGGGCTGCAAATCCGCCCACAAGTGTTGCCAGAAACCACTGGGATGGGTGTCGTTGGAGCATGTCTTGCATCGGTTCAGCACTTCAGGGCACCACGTCTCGCCCTCCTCCCTCCCCTCCCCCCCCCCCCCCATCACAGATACGAAAGGCACCCCCGCTCATTCTCCAGCTCAATGACTTCTGCCCCTGACAAACTGAGACAGAGGTGGCACCTGTAAATATCCACAAAGCAACTCAAGGCAGGGCATGTGCAACCTATCAGGCAACAAATCAGCAGAGACGTGCCGATGTGCCGGCATTTGACACCGACGAACGTTAACCACTGGGGAATGGTGTTGCTCGTGTCAGAGCCGTTGACTGGCGCCTGATCTCGTCCCGGGTGATCGATAGCGACCTCGGCGGTCAGTGGGTCAGCTTCATCCCGCTGTATTCCAAGAAGCATAGCACAATTTGGGTCGGGTCCAATACAGACTCGAAGGTATTTTTGGAGAAGGGAGCCTTGTGTGTCCGTTGGAGAAGCTTAAATGATGGTTCAAACCTGTGCAGTCTACCCGACGACGGCTCATCGATATTTCCCGCGGATCTAATGCAGTTTAGCTCCAAGGAAATTTTCCAGATTATTCAGGCGAAATATTTACTCCTCACTCACAGCGACACAGTAACGAATCACACGAACCTCGGAAGACGCACGCCTACCGGCCGGGACGCCAGAACAATGACGGGAATGTATTTGTGAGCGCGCTGGCATGCAGGGCGGTTAATAACGGTCCTAGCCCTGGACAGGCTTGACGTGATTGTTTTGTGCTGGGCAAGGCCAGTCGGAGTGTGGTTGGCTCCACTGTCGCCAGGGGGAAGGCGGGCTGTGGAGCAAGGCAAGGGACGTGAGCGGGCTGACGCGCCTCAGGCTATGCAGCTGGGAAGAAGCTCCTGAGTCGGCCAGTCGGCTGAGTGATGACGGCTTATAAAATATTGCAGTAAAATGAGCATGCTGAAGTGCACAAAAATAATACGTCTGACTGGCATCACAGCAATTCGGTAAAATGCGAACTGTTCTGCTTCGTTTTTCACCACAATATAACGATCAGCAAGCAAATACCAGAAAGTACAAAGCATGATAACTTGACTCTTAAATAGATGAAAGACAGGGCAGGGGTACAGTTCAGTTAGGAGGGTTCCAGCCCCCCCCTCCCCCATCAACTTGAAAAAAGCGCCAGATTTGGATAAAAACCCTATTTTGGGGGCAGGTTTTTAGACATCTTTGCCTGCTCGATCCCCTCAAACTTGTTTTAAGAACCTCAACCCATGTTAACAGGTGGTCTAAGACTCGCGCCCCAATAGGACACTCGGAGAAAGATCAAGCGTGACCAATCATCAAATCATGCGTTGGCGACAAAGACAACGCACTGCCATTTGCCATTATGCTTCTGTGACGTCATCGCTTGGAATACCACTGTAAGCGTGCCACCCCGTTGGCCTAGGTTCGCGTCCCTCATGAAAAATACTTGCCCTGGTGCGCGCCTAGCAATCAACCTCGCCGTGCATGTCGGACCTCCTAAATCATGGCAAAGGACTTTCCAGCATATTCAGTGGCTGTGACAGGACACTGATTCGGTTCACGTTCACAGCGGCGGACAAAATAGCTCCAAGGCAAAAGCCAAGGCAAAGTCAAAAGTCACTTCTCGGGCGACCCTCTGGTGAGGACTTCGTCTACATAGTTTGGCTTATTGCAAAATATATCAG